TCTGCACCCATGCAGTGTTGTGAAGGTTCCAAAACGGACTTTGCTTCCATTCGGGTCCCCAGGAGCCGAGCTTCACCATCCCTCCGAATAAGCAGGAGGGATGGAGGGGAAGGTCTGGGGGAGACGCTGCCTGCGGGGCTCTGGCCCATTCTCCCGCTGCCCCCCGAGTCCTGGCGCAAACCCTTCTAGCTACCCGCTCCAGCTGTCAGGCTTCCTCCTTCTCGGCCCAGCAGCCCTACCCCAGCCCGAGCAGCGGCCCCTCCCGCGGCCCCCGCCCCCTCCTGCTCCAGTGGGAGGGAGGGAGGCGCGGGGGGCTCGCGGGGTCTCTACCTTGCCTGCGGAGGGCGCGCGGTGGGAGCTGAAGCGCGGCGCCGGAGCTGGAGCCCGAGCTGGGCTGGAGGGGACGGACCAGGCAGGCGCGGCTGCCGCGAGGCCGCCCCGTTCCTGACGACACAGCTGCCCGCCCCCGACCCCGGCCGGCCCGCCTGCGCCCAATCCCGGCGCCCCCAACTCCGGGAACTCCAGTCTGGAGACGTCCCTGTTTCCAGCTCGCCAAGCCTGATCTTCCCACCTCCCCAATATCTGTAGGGCTCTGGTCTGCGCCACTTTCTCCACATCCTGCGCTTCTCATCTTCCCGCCTCGGGACAGCTCGGTTTCTATCCATCTGCCCTTTTTTCTAATCATTCACAGCCTCTCCCCTCATCCCAACCCTGGGAGGCCAAGATAGGGGGCGGGGCCGATGATGGCACAGCTTGGCAGCGGCACACCTAGGCGACGTCTAACCCTCTCCCAGTTGCTGCCATCTGGGGGACTTCCCTTCCCGACTCTTTTCCATCCTCCATTGACCGAATTCATACTCAAAAGATCCCACAGCAGCAAGCCCAGAGTCCCAGACTCTACATCCTGACACACAAACGCCTCCCTCCTCCCATGGGCTCTGCACTGCTTAACAGTGTTTGAGGCCTACCTTTACCTCTAGTTTCCTCACCTCCCTAAAACCCAAACCCCAGATGGCTCAGACTTGTTTTCCCCAATGTAAGTACACCTCCTTGTCTCAAGACTCACGGCCTTCCCTTAATTCTGGGGTGGTTTAGGTGCAAAGAGAACTCTGGTCTGTGTCCACTCTTTCTCCATGCCCTAACCCTCCCATTTTACCTGCTGGCCCTGGCAGGTGGTGTAGAAGGCCCTGGCCAAACGTGAGGTTGAAAGAAGATCCTTTCAGCAGTTCCTGTCTGGAAACTTCTGAAGTTAAGGCTCTTAGGGCAGCATGGATGATGGTGAGGCTGGTAGTGCAAGGGAGATAGACAGAGGCCTAGGACTAACTGGTAGGAACTGGGGACCCAGGCATCCTGCTCCTTGGCCCCGCCCCAACCCAGGCTAACCCCTCCTAACCCTCATTGAAGTAGGGCACAGTAACAAGGGCTTGATTTCCTGGAATCTTTCCTTTTAACAGCTGGTGGTAGAAGAGAGGGGGAGGGGAAAGCTCTGACTGGAAGCCTGTGCGTGTGTGGTGTATATATGTTGTGTATGTGCGCGCGCGCGCGCG